GCCCTATCTAAATTTATAATTTTTAAAACAGCTAATCGGTATTTAATTTAAAAGCAAGAATTTTCTATAAGGAATGTTCTTATAGAATATCTAAAAACCAATCTAACCCTCAATTACACTGGTCGATAGGACCTCATTACACGCAGACAACCGAGTATTAACCCTTTGACGTGTCGTGGTTTAATTGTCCCCATTTATGTTAAACGGCTTCAGACACTTGTCATTTGTCACATTATTATTTTCTCACGATTATTGCGTTTAAAAATTTATTGCGGTTTTACTTCTTTATTCAACATTTCTTTCTTCATTATCAAGTTACATTGTCATAGCAGTTATTGGAGCCCCTGAACTAAGTCCACGGAGACCTTTACCATCCATCGTACTCGGCTCATCCAACGGATTAATGTAATTCAAACTCAAACTATCTTTATTCATATAGGGTAAACAAGTACACTTATGAACGTCAAAAAAAACATTTACTACCAGTTCGCAAGGGCGTAGAGCGGGCAAGAAGAACTGGCAAGAAACTTTCCGCCACTCTTTTTAATCGCTAAGTTTTGATTCATACAAATTGTTTGAACTGGAGCAAATCAATCCCAAGGATTAGGATCATTTAAGTATTCGTCAAATTTATAAAAAGCTTTATTGATTAATTTACGTTTAACGAGGGCTTTGTAACTTAACAAACGTTACTAAAATGTTATATAAAGAAAAATAGAAAACTGAGACTTATTACTAATTAAGATACAAGTTTACAGGGTTGAAACATTTGTACACACCAGAATGTGCAATTCTTCATGTAATGTTAGGATGGGATGGATCGAATGGTAGGTGGAGAGTGCTAGTGTAAAAGAGAGTAAGTGCATTGTGAAAAATTAAAAATGATTAGAATGTTCTTGTACTAGGAATTCAGTTTCTTTATAGTTTACTGCACAAAGCCACTTGGTAATTATTGTTTTAATTTCGTTAAATAACTTAGGGTAAATATTAAAGATCCTATTAAGTTTATTGTATAGCTGAATTAGCGGTGCGAGACTTTAGTTTTACCTTGAGGTATTATACACACTAGGTCCTTCCTACGCCTTTTCAGAAGTGCATTGTGCATTAGACTATGTTTTCTAAGGATTTGCGGATGGTAAGAAGTTTACTTGAATTGTATAAATCAAAAGTTGAATAAGTTCTTTTAAAAATCTACGCCCGTTTACGCCCTTGTTTGGAATGGAATCTAGATGTTGAGCCTTAGGGGCATTTATAGCTCAGCTCGGGCTGTTTTGGCGAGCGATAGGTGTACGGTCCTGAAAGGGCGTAAGTTCTCTTCTTGAAAAACATCACCTTTAACAGAGCTCTTTGCGATCTTTCCAATGTAATTAATTTCGTTTTGTAAGCACCACCCCACACTGGAATGCAATAGATCAATATTCGAGTTTTGTTTTTAATTTAACGTAAAATTAATCTTTTTTTTCTTTAACCAGTTCTGTTGGTCAGGTCTTTTGACATAGGCCTTCCCATAGGTATGTTTGCCCAATTTATTTAAAAACAAAAATATTTTACCTGCTACCCCAGTTCATTGCACTAAAAACGTTTCGTATAATATAGAAACTAGCCATTAAGGACATGCTTATTAGGGAAATTAACCTCTTCTAGTTGTCTATTAAATGCCCCCTGACAACTGACCGTTCATGTCAATTATGTTATTATTGTGATATTTATTGTCGATCAATTAGTGTCTATGATTTATTTTGTATAGCATTAATGTTGCCTATTAGCCGTTTTCAGTTTATTTTATTCCATTATTTGTTATTAGTTTACAAGAACTTGCCTCTGGGATTTCTGATACATTTTTGTGTATTATATAAAGTATATGAATACATATATGCCAGTACTGTTGGCAAAATAGCTTCGGTGCGTCTCTCATTCGTAGATTCGAACCCCAGCTGTGCAACAATGGACTCTTCTGTCTATGTGCAACATTAACTCTCGTACGGTGGAGGAAAATATTGTGAGGACTTAAACCCAAAAGAGTCGATGACTGGTATCAGACAAAGGGCTACTCACCTTCTTGTCAGAGAAAAAAATAAATGTTCATGACACAGATACAGATATCTGAGGCCCAGACCTGCACTTTTTTTAGGTGGCTACTGGCTACTGATTTTGTTAGGTCAAAGCTCACTTCTTTTAACAATCTTCAGAATCTTTATAGTTGTAACAGCTTTATGGGTTATGTGGGAATCGCTTACTTTGCACACCCTGTAAAACTAGCATACGCCCTAGGCCGGACACAGTAAAAGCTATGCACTATCTATACTTTCTAAAGGACCTTGTTTTTGTGAGTGACGCGGGGAGTATGGGGGTTGGCCCGTGAGCAATGGACCCACTAAAACCCAACAGTTCCGTTAATCCGTGCCCCCTTTAAGAGTGAATACACCTTAAGAACCTAGGCCTAGCTCTTTAACCAGGACTGATTTAACGTTGTTCGCCAGTACAAAGTACACATTGAACGGAATCGTATCTGACACACTCAGTAATTGAACCGGAGAGAATTTTTACGATTAGCAGAGGAGACAATCGCTCACACTGATTTATAAATAAACTTTATACAACTTTGATCCTTATTTATCTGTAATAAAGCTCAAATTTCATTTCGAGAGCATTTATACAAAATTCCTGTGATAGCTATCCTTGGCAGGATGTTCCGAAGAAATGCAACGAACGCGCGCACGAAATACTTAACAAGTATATTTCAATAAAACTTAAACCATACTGACAAAATAAATAAACAATTTGTGTGTGCAAATAAACCATTTCGCTGTACAGTCAGCAGAGAAATTCAATAAATAAATGCCATTTTCGGATATTACCTTGTTCGGCGGACAAAGGCAGCGCTATTTTGATTGCATTCCGGATTTAAGTGAGATTTTTACTTGAATATTTTACTTCGAAACATGTTAATAAATTCAGAGTCCGTCTCATATATTTTTGAGAATAAATTTTATAACGACTTGTATAACGTTAAATTTGTGTGAAGTCAGCAAACATATAACTGTTAAAAAGCTCTTGATTACTGGACAGTTACTCTGCCAGCTAAACCAAAAGCATGACAATTCTTTATAGCTCATTGTTATGCTGACTGTACCTCGGTGACTCAATGGTTAAGCGCTAGCAGATTGAGATTGATAGCCAGCTCATTCTGTTCCATTCCCGACATTGTAACTCTGCCCTTGATACATCCCTTGTGAAAGATATAAATTGGTACAAGGATTATTGCACTGACTGCGCTGACGATTTATTTTAGCGTTAAATTGTTCTTAGTTTCGATCTGTGACATATCGCTTTGTACAGCTATTATTGTATAAAACGTGGACTAAAGATAAATAGTACAAATTATCATATTTATGTTACGAAATAAATGTAGCTGTATGTATGTATGTGGAACATACATGCCCTTTCGTAGAACCGTCCTTGGTTCTAACTCTTCTATACGAGGTGAAAATTTGCCTAAATTTTGGTAAATATTTTTCCTAATTGAACTCTTCCACCTACCCTAACCCGAGGTTTTGCAGAGCTGTTGAATATTTTCCTTACTGTTAGATATTTCTAAATTTTAAGTATAAGTTAGTAAAATAAATTAAGTACAATTACATGCACTTAATTCGTTAATAAGAGTGCCAAACGTTGGTAAGTGAAAAAAATACAAGAACAAAGTGTCTTTATCTTAATAGAGACTATCAGTACTGTTATTGGACACTTTCGTATGTTAAATATCCTTTTTAGTAATACGGGTCAACTTAAATTACTAAATCTAAATTTAAATGATGGATTTGTGTAGAGACGGGCCTTTTTTAAAATAAATAAATACCAATAATCTAGCAATAATTAATTGACTGGAATCAAACCCGGACTAAATCTAAACGCCGACCAGTAAGCTTAAAAGCTGGCTGAAAAAATGTAATTAATTAATTTTCAAACATTTTATCTACATTGTTAAACTGCTTTCATATCTAGAAACATTTTCTTTACAATACATTTTTCAACTGAAATTCAGAACCTCATAGAATTACATACTTTAGTCATTTCAACCTGAAATAGTTTAGTATAAAAGGATATTGTAGCCATTTATTCTGAACAAAACACCGTTATTTCGCACGATACTGTATAGTTTTATAGTAAGATATTTACACACATTTACGTTAACATGTGTTCGAATTTGACCTCTGTTAACCAATTTGTATAAAACAATTGCCTTCAGTAACGTGAGTCTAAACTATAACTGTAGCTGTATTATTTATAAACTTTATAAACTTTATAAACTTGATGATTTTGCTATAAATATTGTATAAACATCTTGTAGCGGTGAACGTTAAACTTTCAACGTAGAAAATATATAACTAAATACAATAGATAAAATAAATTATTATCATACATCAACGTTTGTAGAGCTTTTGTTTTGACTTTCTCATTAAGTATATAATTTGATAGGGTTTAATAGGGCTGTTATAATTTGATATTTGAATAAAGCAAAATGTAATGTTGCTATTATTGCAATATAAAATGTATTAAATCAATACTAAAATAAATAAATATAAATATTCCACTTTTGTGAGGTTATTTTAGATTTTAATTTTGTTCAATATAAACGAAAAACACCGAATTGATAACCTCCTTCTTCGGGTTTTTTTGAGTTTGAGAATGAAAATGTGTGCCATAAGCAATTTTTTTAAAAGACGTTAGTTAATTTAAAAATAATTTTATTTGATGTTAATATGTATGAGCTTCATATTAGCTGATCGGCGTTTTTTGGTTCTTGACATATAATTAGCTCATACATTAATTAGCATAGCAAGTAGTACCTCTTGTTTAAAGTGCATCTTGTGGTTGATAGAATCTAGGCAAATTAGCTATTTAGCAAACAAATCTGATAAAAGTAGCAACGTTGTATGTATAAAAAATATTTAATGCAAATTCAAAATTACATTAAACTCCCTTTTGTTTAAGTCGGGAAAATGGGAGGCTTGAAAAGGAATAGAATATTCAAATCCAAGGGTATCAAGGGTTGGGGGTTGTTGACCTTTCTCGGAGGCTCTATAGGTACAGGGATGCGAACGAAATTAATTTTGGGATGGGTCAGCGGAATTCGAAATGATACTATGCAAATTTCACTCAGGCATAAGGCTGAGTGAAATTTGCATCGTATCATTGTTACTAATATATTAAAATTCATATTGAAGTTTTGTATGTATTCCATTTTTAGATGAAGAACTATTAAACTTTCATAGGTGGTACAAGTTGTAGTTAATTACTATTTATTTTACGTATTATGTTTTGAATAAATTTGATACAGATGACTATCAAATGAAAGTCAAAATAATAGAATAAAACTTAGTAATTTTTCAAAATTTTATCAATATAAAAAATAACTCAGTTTCTAACTCATTAAGTAATTCTTTCGAGGAAATGATTGTTTGCGAATATACGTATATTTAGGTTGAAAGAAGATCCGCCTTTCTCGTTAGCGAATTTCCGTGCAGATTTCCGGCTTATTCTGAATGAGATTAGTATTGAAAGTTAATGATTTCGGCTTTATCATGATATGCAGATTAGTTGTTAAACCATATACCGTTGAAAAGTTTGTATAAGAAGATAGGAAAGCATAGAACAAAAAATTTACGTTCAAGGTAATACTGAAAGTCTCAGATGTTCGTACAAAACGAGGTAAGAGATTGAAGAGCGTAATTACACTGACACGTTTTTCAAGGTCAGTTCCTCAGTCACAGAGGGAAATAAAAAGGGAAGTGCAAGTAGACCAAAACTTCCAAGGTCGTCTGACACCTAGACTAACTCATACTAACACAAGGCTCCCCCTTGCACCCACACCATCGCAGCCACGTGTACTCTCACCCCTATACATGGTCGCCATAGCAACGCAGCATCCTACTTCCACGCCCACTACCCCGGGGGCGAACTCTCAAGATATTACGCCCTACTTCGTCCGCATTGGCGAACTAAAGGGGTGTACGCCGTACGCTTGTGTGGGCCCGTTTAACCGGAGCTCTCGTGAAATTCCATTTTGAAGGGAAATTTTGTGACATCGACAGCTAGAGATTATTGACATTTCGAAATTCAAACTCGGAAATAGGCAATAAAAATAAGCATGTATAACGCGCCTAGTTAGCGAATGCTAACCGCGCTCTCGACTCCATTCGCAACATTCAGCCGGCCGCTCGTTAACAAACCCATTCAAATTTGAAGTATTAGTCGATTGAGGTAACATTTCTCGCGTCCTATCGCCACGAGTTCCAATTAGCGACTGGAGCTTGTCGCTTGAGTGGCGGTGACGTCACGCGGCTTTCATACGACTTCAATAACTACCCTCTTGACGTACCTTCAATAGCCGGCCACTCCACCTGGCCTTCATTAGGGACCTTCTCAATACATGCTGAGAACTGAAAAGACGTGAACCTACTAATTTCAAAAACGCAAGTTTTAACGAGTAAAGTTCTTTAGCTAATAACTAGGGAACTTGTGAGACCACGATATCGTAGCCATAGTAATTGCGTGGGTTAATTTTTTTGTATTTAATTATCGCGAGGCTGTCATTTGAACAAAGCGGCTTGGCCTTTTGTTAATAGTCGCGCCATAGACAAATCTTATTATGGAAATATTTTCAAATTAAGAACGGGCTCTGCTCCCGCATTATGCGTCTCGACTGTCATCATTGTCTATGGTCTTTTTTGTTCGTCCTCGCATGTCGAGGCTTTTCGACCACCGTTTCGGTTATTTTTTCTTTTCGTTTTTTTATCCGCTGTCCCGAGCGTGAATGGAGGGCTTTGTTTGTGCGTGTTTTATTATTAATTAGTGGAGTCTTTGTTCGTGGTAATTATTGTCTTAATAAGCAGTTCCTGCTCGAATGGGAAGGAGCGACGAAAGAATTGTCAACGAGTTTCGTTTTAAATTCAATTATTAAAAACGGGTTTAGGGGAAGCCCTAAATAAATGTACAATCATTTATTTATGAAATGAATAGCCATAGACTATACAACACGACATCTTGTTATAATTTCGAGAAGTCATATACAGAGAATAGATTGAAAGAGTTCTGCTTGTAATTAATTTTCGCTATGGAGCTTCTTACAAGTATGTGTTAGAGTCAGTGCGATTTACGAGTGTTATTTTTCACCCTCTCACTCCAGAGTTCTATTGCGTAATTATAATCAGTTTTCATTCGAAACAGTTTAACAAAACGCACACAGTGCCCAATGAGAGCCATAATTAATTTAAGCTTTAGTGTCAGCCGCGATACTGTCGTTTATTTCGCATAATAAAGTGCTGAAAAGAAGACCCAGTTTAATTAGAGGTGAGGTACTTGCAGCGCGTCTGGATGATGCTCGTTGGGCGCCATTTTGCATAATTGGGCGTTGGAGGGAACGAAATTTATACGCCGGGCGCCAATTTACTTGCTAATGACGCGTCTTGCTATGCCCCCTATTCGGTTTTGTTCGCATTCACCATTACTCGAATGTTTAGCTCGATCTATTGAACTTTATTCTTTTGATAATTTATGCGACATTTTTATTAATTCAACTGACTTTTGATTTTTTATTCTACATTAACGAAAGAGTATTTAGTTGAATTTGTTTTTTCGATACTAAACTTTTTCGAGGCGTTTTATAAAATATAATTTCAAAGGTAGCCGATTAATGACATTTAAAATGTCACTAATAATGTCTTCGGGGCCGCGTATTTTTGTGCGAGATTTTGCTAAGGTTTTTAAAATTTAATACACTTACATAATTTGTACACATTTTAGTGAATTCTATAAAGAGGACAAGTTTATATTTTATGCAAGTTGTGAGATCGTCAACCAGAAATCAGGTTTGGGCTTGATGGGCTACCATAGAATAGGTCAGGGATGAGCCCTACTTATAATCAATAAATATATAATCAGTTTATTTTACCTAATAAATACTGTTCGCATTAATTATTATCAAACATAATTTTTATAATATTTTTAACATTTTACAATAATTTTAATTTATTATGCATTTGTTACAGGCGGGGAAAATGGGGTTACCAGCAGGTAGCAGCTTGTCCTTATTCTGTCCCGGGGGGGAGTTGGGGCAACCACCACCCGCGCATATGGGTATCCCGCCGCCATACCAGATAGATTCCAAACTTGGTGAGTCTTTTAATATTCCTGATAGTTGATGTGTTAGTGATGAACTAAATTATAAAAAGTTTATAGTTTTAGTTTCAATTCTTCATTCATAATGGATTGATATGTATTCAATTAGTTTATATGTAAGGATATTTATTAATTAATGTGATAAAAATATACATATGATTAATATTAGTTGATTTATTCTAGCGGCGGGTCTGGCGCGGACGCCAATGTACCCCTTCCCAGGTGGGGCCTACCCTTACCCCATGCTTAGTCCAGAGATGTCACAAGTCGCTGCCTCGTGGTTAGTATACATCTTAAAAATCCTACAAAAATTACATATAAAATATTTATACTAACAATTTATATCTGTTTTAAATGTCCAAATTGTCTCATGGGGAAATGCAGTTCTGATCAGCCAGTCTGAGCACTGCTGACTTAAATATAGGACGGTGTGACTGACTCATACCCCCGTATTTGAGTTGAAGGCATACTGGTTTCCTCTCGATGTTTTCCTTCACCGTACCACCGAGTGATAATTGCGCACATAGAAAGTCCATTGGTCCACAGCCACTAGGCCAACACTGCTCTTCCTTATAGCTGCTGCAGTATTCGTTTTGAATTTGAATAGTATTAATAATTACGTCAGCTGTCAAACGTCAATTGTTAAAAGTGTTTCTGTAAATTTTTACAGAAGCCATGTTTTTATATGGCGAGATCTAAGGTTTAAAAACAGTTAGCTATTTTCATTATGGCGTTATAAATTGTGTTTAAATATTTCAGGCACACGCCTAGTATGTATCCTATATCGTCGGCAGCGAGTGGGTTTCGAAGTCCGTACCCAACGTCGCTACCCATCAGCACCTCTAGTCTATCAAGGTAAGATCCAATCATTTCTTTAGGTTCTCTTCTTTCAAAAAAGTAATACGCTGCAAATTATAATAAATAAAACTTGTTTATATTCACAATCAAACGAGCCCAAAATTTTATAATATTACATAGAAATAACGAATTTAATAGAGTCGCTGTAATTGTTCACTCTGGTGTATATTTCAACAGCCTGCTATAAGCAACGAATTATGATTTTTTATCTGCAAAGTGACACAAGTGTCAAAACATATTAAACCGCTGATTTAAGTAACTTTAATTTTGAAATGTTTACGAATAATCTGCTTTGGTGGTTTCACTATATGATTAATATTCCAAATTTGAATTTCGTGGAATATAAATGTTTTATCGTAGATACTGTTCTAATTACAGTCCTAACAGTGAAGGTGTGAAACGTTGTGTAAATTCAATATTTTCTGGCATTAAACAAATTTAATTATTATAAAACGTGCAACTTTAGCCGAATTAATAACCAATTTTTTTGGAATCAACTTCCAACGCCCTTCAACGGATACACTTAAGCTCTTTCAACTTGAAACTTTTTGTTTTAATTTGAAACTGTGAAATTCTAAGTTATTAAAATCATTATATTTTATTGCAGTGAATTGTACCGGTTTTCGCCGACATTAGGCGGAGGCCTAGGGCTCGGATTGGGACCCGCGTTAGTGCCTCCACCACCCTCAAAGTCTGACCTCTTTACGCACCATTCAAGGTAAGTTATATTATTTTTTTTGTGATTGATAAATATTTAGCATAATCTTCAACCCTATATGTTATAAAACTTTGTTATTCAGCTTTCGGACTTCATTGTTCCGCACATACTTATAATCACGAAATATTTTAATAATATCCCTTTGTAATCAATAAACCTGATACTTTTATTTTCGTAAGTTATATGTTATATATTTTTCTGAATGTTAAAACCGTCTCAAACACGTTCTATGAACTATAAAATTAGCTAATATATCCATAAATGCGTACGCGCACACAATTCGATAGCCAGTCACGTTGGCAATATTACGATTATGGCGGCATGGATTCGAATTGATAAGCCAGGTTTCATCCAGTTTATAAATTATTTATATGTATGAAAATTATTCTTATTCTAAACTATTTCACGTTGAATTCGTAACCTCATCTTTTGTTTTAAGTCGGTAAAATTAAAAAAAGAAAAATTCGACTTTGGGTCCTTCCAAAAAAGGTGTACCAGGTTTTAAAAGGCCAGCAGTTACGAGCCAATGTGAGTGGGCCATGGGCGGCGGTATTACTTAACATCAGGTGATACTCCTCTACGTTTGCCACGTGAATAAAATAAAACTAGGATAAGGGTATTGTTAAGTACACACTCTTCTGTAGTAAACTTATAGAAGTTTTTTTTTTAATAATTGTTAATATTACTACCCTATAATCGTTTTAAATTATTTTTATAATGTAAAACTGTCACGGGCATTTTACCACCCACCTATTTAACTTTATCACAAAGATCACCCTACATCTACTAATTTGTAATCCACACGACAAACGGACGAAACGATCGCTGTATTATTAGAGACGTGTGCCAAATGAATAATTACTACCTGGGTCTGATATTAGGACAAAGTTATACAATGATTTCAAGTATAAATACAGCAATATAGCGTGAACAGTGTTGGCCTTATTAGGTAGTAGACTTTGTATATACGCATTTAGTACTCGCTCCAAAATACAAACATCGTGACGAAACCGGCATATAGACCCAAAAGTTCTACGGCATCAGGCACAAATTTCTGATCACCTACTAGTCGAATAGTTATACAAATGAATATGAAACAGATATTCGAGACCCAGAACTAAAAAGGTTGCAGCGCCTATTTTTTTAATGTGAAGCGTGTAAGAGTAAAATAAAATTCAGGAATTGCAACTGCAAAACGTTTATTTGGACATATACTTTGTCTATATCATAAGTGAAAGAACTAGTCACGCATAATAAAAAAGATAATTTATAGCCACTCACGCATACTGTTTGCATATGTAAACACGAGATGGCGCTAAACGAAATTGTGCTAAAATCTCTTTAAAGTTCACTTATACACTAAATGACGCTTTTACAGACGATACGTCTTAAGCGGGAAACGTATTCTTTAGGGATTTTCTAGTGTATTGTGCTTACGTATACGTACGTACTTATATATACTTACGTATTCTAGTGTGCTTATAAAACAGTTATAGTTTTTACACTCTGCTTGTTTTTAGAACTTTCTTGTCTCTCTTGAATGTTTTTTATTACCTATTTTTTCACTGGTTTAAAATTTTAAGCGACTTAAGTACCCCCAAAAGCGTCGCATCCCGCCCTTAAATAGTAAAAGCGATAAAAATGTAAAACATAATTCGCCCTAGCATCTGTCAGCTTATCTTATCAGATCTACAGGGTGAGCGTGTAATAGCGACTGATACGAGCGATAAAATCACCCCTTAGATATACACAATGCGTAATGGATAATAATAAATATTACATACATTAAAATGTTCGTATAAAAATTTGACATATACCGGACACATTTTTGCTCAAATCTTTGTTCCGCTCAACGGTAGTCAATATATTTTTAATATGAAATATTTTCGTGTTACTCTATAAGATTCATCAATCCAACGAATACCAAACAATATTTAAATTATATTTACAGTTCCAAAATCACATAATAATTATGAATAATAAATTGTATGTAACATAAATAAATAAAATATAATCTTGCAAAATTTGAATCAGTCGTGTAAAATGTATGTTCATATAATGTATATGTATAAGAGCAGTATAGCGGCTTAACCATGTTCGATCTCATCCCGTGTAGGTTCGATCCTCGGCTGTGCACCAATGGACTTTCTTTCAACGCATTTAACATTCGCTCGAACGTTGAAGGAAAGCATGAGGAAACCGCCTTGCCTTAAATCCAAAAAGTTGACGGGGTGTGTCAAGCACAGGAGGCTGATCACCTACTTGCCTGTTACAAATTACCATGATTCAGATACAAAAATCTGAGGGCCAGACCTAAAAAGGTTCTAGCGTCACTGATTTGAATGGTATTATTAATGATATATATTTCGACCGTCTTGTTTCAAAAACTTTTTACATTATTTTCAAACAATTATATGTAAGTATTTAGCAAGTCAGTTCACTAATTGCTAGCAAAGAATCTTACTTAGTCTAAGTAACATGTACGATTCCCACGAACGCATTTTGATTTTCTCGCATTTGGAATTCAATACTAAATTCCTTTTTTAGTTGATAAAATAATTTCTAGAAACAGCAATCATTCATTACCGCCTGTGTGTGGTTGGATGAGGTCATGGGTTGATTCCCGGCAAGCATATCTTTTAGTTGCCACAAATAGCTAATCATTTAAGGCAGAAAAACCGATGCAGACCTTTTTTTTATATTTATTTCGTAATCCTAAAGCTAACACAAATTAAATTAAATGATCCTTATCCTTGGGATTGATTTACTTCAGTTCAAAGAATTTGTATGACTCAAAACTTAGTGATTAGAAATAGTGGTGGAAAGTTTCTTGCCAGTTCTTCTTGCCCGCTCTACGCCCTTGACTTGCGAACTGATAGTAAATTTAGAATCAATTTAACAACTTTTCTGCTGACGTTCTTAAGTGTACCTATATGAATAATGTTATTTTCAGTTTGAGAGTTTGAATTACATAACAAAATACAATTATACAAAAAGGTTCTAACATTTACGAAAGGAAAATATCAAGAAAGAATATTAAATACATTTAACTAAGTAATACCTCATTCGGATGTATTGTATTGATTTCGAGTTCGCCCTGTGAAAAAGTTTATTAAAAACCGCGTGTAAACCTCACCTTGTAGGTATACGTTATTTAAACTTTGAATGTATCATTTCAAAGTACAATAAAAATTAATATTTCATATGAAACGAGTCGATGGCATGTTATTTGTAATCTTACACCTTTCAACTCGTCACTCGTTTAATACAAGTTGTGTCGCTCAAACATACACAATAACCGCTACAGCTTGTGCGGTGCCTCTGTTAGCGGTTATAATCGCTGTTAAAAATAGTATGATTGTTAAAGTTTTGTGTGTATAACATTTTACTCAGTAAAAGTAGAATAATTAATAATTGACAGAGTTTAGTACTACTATATCTATTTTGAACTTAACTGGCAAGATTACAAGTTTTGTCATTAATAAGATAATGTCTTTGATGCTAACTTAAAAGGCCGGCAACGCACTTGCGAACCCTCTGGCAATGTGTCTATGGGCGGCGGTATCACATTAAAATCAAGCGAGCCTCCTGCCCAATTGCCCCCTTTAATATATAAAAAAAAATATTTTGCATGGTACGTTCACGTATGTTCGTTAATACTTTTATAATGTTTATCTTATATAATAAAAATAATTTTACTATATTATTAGCTACTCCTGCGAACTCCGTTTCGCCTTAATATGATTTTTTACTTACCAATTTTCGTAGCTACTTACCAACGTATGGATTGTTTGCTATACTACCCCACAAAGACTTCGCTTTTCCGGAGTAATAACCTAAGTACTACATAAAACTAAATTATTCAAATACATAGTGGTTCATACACTGCAAACATTTAATAACATTGTGTTAACATGTTTGTTAACATGGTTTTTCCATGCAATTTTTCCAATATTTCTCTCCATAAAAAACTTCCTCTATAGATATAATATATATTCGATAGTCTATTTTAAATTTTATTTCATCAATATTTAAACGTATCTTCACGCTTACGCTCCGCTCACAAACTCGCTATATTTGACAACGCACCCCATACATAAAAGGTCCAGGTACAATCATGTAAATAAGCTGCTGGCGGAGAAATTTAATTAAGATGATATATGAGACGTGGACTAACGGGTACAGTCGCGAGATCAAGATAACGTACGAAGATAAATACGATAACGGATTCTGGGGTTATCCTTTGTTTTAATATTGCATTTCGACAAGCATTTTATTATACAAGTTTTGCTAAATATTTAACTAACATTTACTAAAAAAATTCAGACGTTGTTAGTGAATTTAATATAGTTGCCTTTATAATATATCGATATAAGATATGGCTGCTATGGTAATTATTTGAGAAAAGTTAATACAAATTGTCCAAACTTTTCGGCTTGACAGTACCCAAGCTTTCGCATAAGCGCATTCATATTCAAAAATATACACAAAATATCTTACCAATGCGATTGTCGTTGACCGTAATAAAATACAATTTAAAAAAAGAACAAAAAAAGTGAGGCTGGCTAAAAATATTTTGACAATAAAAAGTCAAAATAAGTGGATTATATTATATTTCTAACCATAGACAATGTTCATATTACAGATACGGAAACTATTTATCCTGAACGATAAAGCTATTTCAGTTGTGACTTTTTAGAAATTTTCATTTTTCTTCTAAAGGAAGTGGCGCATTCATTTTGTGTTCTCAGAAGTAATCAAAAGTCTATATTTGACGTTCTCAAATAAGGGTTTATACACACTGCATTTTATCTAAGAAAATTGTACTGTAAAACAATATGGAACAACGAAATAACGAATAGATTTAGAAACGAGACTTAGAACGAACTATGATAAGTTCATCACTTACCTTCGTATGTAGAGAAATTCGCCGGAAGTCAAATTTAGTCTTGGTTTAAGCCTAAGACATCGGCGAAATGAGCGAGACGTAAGCTGCGAATGTGGCGCCACCAATGGACAATCATGTATTTAAAAATACAGAAAATAATTAATGATATAATGTTTAACACACAAATAAAACTTTAAATGTCTGTTCGTATTTTTTTGGTTAAAAAACTACTTTTAAATTGAAATCTAAACTGGCCAATTTATTGGATGAAAGAATTAGCGATATGGGTCAGTTTAGGTTGTCAATTGGCTCTCAAGAGGATCCACATATCAGCCTTCATAGTCTAGTGCCCAATAATAAACGTAATATGACCCGCTAACCATAAGTTCGTGTCTCTGGAAGACAATAAAAAAACGATGGGGGTATATTTCTACTTACTGGTCAGTCTTGAAGTGTACGAACACCCTTATCTCAGTGACAATATATTTTATCGACTCTATTCCTGAGACCGGCGCGGGCGCAGGCCGGAAGTCGTTATTTAAGATTCTTGTTTCGCTTGTGATTATTAATTTTAACTTTTATTTTACTAAGATTTATAGCGTGTACCGATATAAAATAGAAATTTTAAAATGTCATTTAAATAAGTCGAATTAAATTTAAGAAAAATTTTAGTACAAAGTTATTAAAAATAATTTATTGTTCTATATGCTAAGTAGTACATTAAATTATTTTTAATACATAATCATTTTGATACAAAAATTATAATAAATATCGATCGAAATACCAACATTCAATTCATATAAAATAATCGTCACAAATTCAATTTTCGAACGTCAAACTAAATTTAAAGAGACAAGTGCGCGACCGGAAACTCGTCTATTCCCAACCGGACGCAGCATGGTTTATTGTCTCTGTCGTTAACACCTAACTCGTTATGTTAACCGATTATCGATGTCGCGTTTTGACATTCGATTACAGATTAATCGTTTATCTATACGATAATTGATGCGCCGTCCGTTTTAGTTAATCAATTTTGGGTAGATAATGCGCTTTAAGAAATATCTTTTAAATTTCGAAATATATTTTAGAGTTCATCTAATTCTATGGAAAATTACCGTAATTACCTTCTAAAGAAAGTGAGGAAATATTTTAGGAAGCGGGAAGACTGACTTAAATTAGAAGTAGTAACAATCTCTTTTTTCTTTAAAACATTAAGTTGTAGTTTGTTTCGTCGAGCACTGTTGGCCTACTGCTTCAGCGTCCGACTGTCATCCCTGAGGTCGTAGGTTAGGTCATCGGTTAGATTAACAAATTATCATGAAACAGATACAGAAATCTCAGGCCCAGACCTGAAAAGGTTGCAGCGCCACTGATTTATTTATTATTTTAAATAAAACAATTTAAGATTTTGTATATGTACTGTACTTAATTGATATCTGTTTTCAGTTTCGTATATTTTGTTTAACAATGTAATCTGTTTCGGCTTTGTTTATTGACTAAGTGTTTTCTTTTATACGTGTACCTGTAAGATTATTACTTAAGATGTCATGTGGAACATGGTGTAATGGTTGCAGCTCCCTACAAACGTTGTGTAAAACAAAAAACTTGGCGATTAAAAAGAGTGTCGGAGAGTTTATTGCCAGTTCTTCTCTTCCGTTCTATTCCCATGATTTGAGAACTGGCAGTAAATGTAAAATTAGAAGCATTTCTGTATATATATTTTTTTACGTTCATAAGTGTACCTACATTATGTTATCTATATGAATAAATGATTTTGACTTTGATTACTTATAAATAAATATATATATTCTTACTTATAAGCCACAAAAAATTCCAGGTCACAAGAGAAAAGCAGCTCCAGCGACAAATCGTCAGAGCAGAGCAGCAATAACAGCAAAGAACAGAACAAGAAGCCGCATATAAAGAAGCCATTGAACGCTTTCATGCTCTATATGAAAGAGATGCGGGCGAAGGTGGTGGCTGAATGTACGCTCAAGGAATCTGCGGCCATCAACCAAATACTTGGTAGACGGGTAAGTTGATTGGTGATTGATGGTTTTTGCTTCTAATGTTAAGATAATTCGCAAAATAACGCAACAAAAAAATTAAAAAAAAACGGACTTTTTCCGTTTGATAAACGAAGTGAAAATATAAAATTCATAAACTTGTATAAAATTACTCAAAAATGAATAAACAAGTGCCCTGGATAGGTTTTAATATGTTTCGAAATATTGTAAACTTTTAATAATACTTTACCATTTTATCTAACAGGAATTAGCAAAAATCAATAATGTCTGAAAATACCAAACTTTATGAACACTTTTAATAAGAAAATCCTGTTTCGTTCAAAATGGTTTAAATAAAAAACAATAGTAGGATTTTGACAGATTAAAATTAACAGTGTCCATATAGTATTGTCGTTCTGTTTATTTTAATGATTTGATTTTTCACACCTGTTCATTTATTCCTAGAAGCATTTCAGAGTTTCTGTTATGATGTGCTCATTGTGAATCTTGTTAGGAATACGGTTCGTGATTAGAGTAGGGTTGCCAACCAGTTTAATTGTAACGCTAAAAGAACAAATGGGTTGCAAATTGCTCAACAAAATATACTCTTCATATTTATTACACAATGTTAAGCTATTACGATTACTCTGTCAAAAATGATACAAATACTTGGTCTAAAGTGGGTCATAAACATGGCTTTTCGTAAACAGATGTATGTAGAATTTAAGTTACTTAAGTAGTTATATTTTTGTACAACCCTGAAGTTGGCAGCCCTAATCGTCCGACACTGATCGTGTAAACAACGGACTCAAGTCGCAAGACAATGACTCGGCCGCCGTGGCCATATCTGCAATCTACTATAGATGTATTGAATAATAAGTAACTTACACAGTTTTATTCCAGAAGCAGTTGGGATATTTCGAAATGCTTTCAAATTTGTAACTTAAAAATGCTTTTTTTGTCACTCGTATTATTGTTATTTTTATTCGTATGTCGCCTACATACAACTACAAAATTTGAAGTAAAAGAACAAAAATATTTTATAAAATATTTAACAAAAAGTGATTACTTCAAAGCGATTATCGAAGTGTTCCAACTGCAAATAATAATCTGTGGTTAGCCTCGGCAGTCTTCTGAGAACTGCGCCGTTACGCTTCCAAGAAAGAAACATGCCAAGATAGACCCAGCAAATAGACCATGATACTTTTAGCTTAATGCGCAAAAATGTTTACATAAACACTGCGTATCATCTTACTCATAACTTTTTTTTTAAAAGGCTATAATCATACTTTTTGATTCTATATTGATGAATATTGTGTAAGAGCTGCTGGGTCTAACTTGTGGGTTTAATCATATTCCTAACAAGAGCCACAATCGCTGTCTGTACATGGATGGGGTTAACTAAATAACATTGAACGCAGTGGCACTCGTTGAGTCGCGAGGAGCAAGCAAAGTACTATGAGAAAGCGAGACAAGAGAGACAGCTCCATATGCAGCTATACCCCGGTTGGAGCGCCAGGGACAACTACGGTTACGGTTCCAAAAAGAAAAAACGGAAAAAGGACCGCGGTCCCGCCGAACTGGGAGGTATTGGACCTTGGTCGTGGACCCGACACGCGGGATGGGTTGTCACGTCGACGCTTGTGTACACTCGCTTTACCCTCCCTTCCGGAGCCACTCCCACTAACTCGCCCCGGGGCCGCTTGCCCTCCGGGCTCCAGGGCTCCTAACACAACTAACCGGCTCGCTCACCCCTCACCCGTCCCTGTATGTGAGTGTGCGTGTGTGCGTGTTCTCTAATGTGTTAGTACGGCGGCCGATGGTGCCTGTGCTAGAAAAGCGGCCGGAACCGTTGTTCACCAAGTCGGGACGCGCGCGGGGCCTCGTTCGGCCCCAGGCCCTGAGACGCCGCCCCGCGCGCGCTAGCTGTTGCGTGTTCTGTGTACTGTAGTCGTCGAGTGGTGTACTCGTGCTCCTAAATCCCCGAACGATCGGAAACTATATTGGTTTGATCTGTGTCGAAGCGCGACGACCGACCGCAGAATAGGTTCTGTGAGGAACAATTGGCCATTCTCATTACTGGGGCGTACGTTCAAAATTTATGGGGCTCACTGCGGGCTGTTTTTCTAGCACCAGCTTAGGGCGCGGTCGCGAACCACCGTCGATGTGAATTCTCTTTTCTTTCCATATTGCGGCGTTCGTACAGTGGCATGCCCTTGGCCGCGAGGAACAAGCCAAGTATTACGAGTTGGCGCGGCGTGAACGCCAACTGCACATGCAGCTCTATCCCGATTGGTCGTCTAGGGCTAATACGCAAAGGGGCAAGAAGAGGAAACGAAAGCAGGAGACAACCGATGGAGGTATTGCCTTTCAACGACTGCAGCCAATCCCATCCGCGGTCCTTCCTTATTCCTCGATAATCAGACAATAAAGGAAACATTAACATATTACGCAACTCGGCCGCAATTCCTGATTTCCTGACATGGTCAACAGACGTCTCGCACGTAATTCTCGACGCTCAGGCTCATTTAATGAGGTCAATTAATGAAGGATTAGCTAGAGACGTCGGTTGCCCTCTCCCGCCTCCTCCCCTCCTGGCCGCACCCATGAGTTCAATTGCTTTGAACTTCGCTCCAAATCAACGGAGCGATGTAGAAATATTGCCGAATGTCTATGGTTGAAGGGGTACAAGGTTGTAGTTAATGAGCATTTTTATTTAATATTTATGGCATTTATTTATTTTGTTCTTTTGTAATTACAATGCTACTTATGAGAACAACCCTGATTTAAGTGGCACTCCTTCGAAGGTTGTCCCGGTTTTTGGCTTTCCTGCTCCGTGCGCCTATGATTACGGGGAGCGTGCATGTTTATCGACAACAGTCATATTGAACACATGAGTAATTGCTTCGCAGGAAGTGTTGATGTACAAAAAAAAGGCTGGGACAGCCTTCTTGATCTATGCGAGTATGCTAAGGAGTAGTGTGAAGTGCCGTATGCATGAAGAGGTCCTGTTTGCCATGTCACGTCAGGACTGGGAGAAGGGACGCCGGGTCCGACTTGAACGAAAGCCGACGCTTCTGTGTCTGCGGTGTTACATACAATGATATTGGCCAAAATAATATACATTTATTTTGATTCCGAAGAACCTATTCTGCTTCAATTTGCTTATGAGCGTCAACTTTATTTGTGATTTTTTTCGACTTGTATCGTAGTTAGTGTTTTTGTTTCGATGCGAGTAGAGTGCTATTTTTAAACCAATGTTTTTTCCGTTTTACCCTTTTATTTCATTTTTCCCGATCCCACCTTGCATGATTAACGAGGAGGCTGGTGTTTGGTGCATGTGCCTTAGTTATTTCTAGTTTAGCCTTATTTTAAGATGCTTAGAATTATAATTCAGTTTTTTTGGCCTCACTGGCGTCTCGGCCTTTATAAAATTAAAATTGTCATTACCGCATTTACTGTACAGGCCCTTTAATTTGCTCTCAAAATATTTTTAATTTGCAATAATTACCTATTCAAAAGCTTTAATTTACCTTTGAACATGTTCTGTATATGTTTTAACGCTTAACATATAAAATTTCAGGTAATAACTTAAAGAAATGTCGAGCGAGATACGGTCTCGATCAACAGAACCAGTGGTGCAAACCTTGCAGGTGGGTTTGACATTTCTCTTTTTATTTGCTTTCAAAACCAAAATATCTTGATACTCTCACGTTTCTCGGTTTTTATTTCAATTTATATTGTTTCTATGTGGAAAGACTTGGCTTATGTTTGTCTTTATTTTATTCATACTTGGCCAAGGCGAGCCTGGTCGTAACATATTTTGTTTTTTATATCAGTATATTGCGATTGAATATTTAGTTAGCGTATTATTATTTCGTTGAAAGAAGCTGTCAAATTGTTACGCGCGGCTCTTAGCATTAAGGGTTTTTCGAATTATGCGACGCTAATTCAGAAAATGTGTCTTTTCACAAAGAAATAAGAAGTAGAATGAACCGATATAGATTTTTTTGAAAGTAGACAAAGTGTGGAAGATGTAGTTATAGGTCTAGAGAAGATAGTTGTTAATAAGATCAGAGATGGGGCAATCATTTGTCGACAAAAGCTTTCAAAAAAATCTTGACACATTTTCTGAATATAGCTCGTTTATAAGGGTCATTGAGAAATATATAGCAGTAAGTTAAGTGTTTTATCGAAACTGTTACTTATCGAAATGTTTTTTCCACTCATGATTGCCGCTTCTCACGGATCGATGCTGGATTCTGCTGGCACTATTGGTATAATTACCATCCAACAATTTTTACGTTACCAAACGCCACTTGACTCCTCTTCAAAACTACTCTACTGATAAATTTCTAACGTGCCTTGTCACAATTGCTTTCCACTAACCCCCTTTTGTGTAATCACTGTCCTAATCTTCCTTATTTCTCTCTGTTATAACAATCTTTCCCATCTCGTTTTCGCGATGTAGTCCCGAGTCAAGTAGTGTAATGGTATCAGGTGGGTTAGGGCTTCTCCGACCAGAGCCGGCAACGCCGCTTCCTCCCGCCAGCCTGGTCGGAAGCCCCCCACAGGAACCCACGTATGTGAACCTCTAGTGCCGGCCAACCACCGCCGCTGGAAACACGGTCAGTTTGTAGTGCGCGAGTTGGACATCGCTTTTGTGGCATGGTCTTTGAATCGTTTGTTGTTTTTATAACATTTGACTCATCAGCTAGACAATTTTTAGCTTTGAGGCAAATGCTTGTGTGTTACATTGATTTCAAATTTCTATTTTTAATGCAGTTTTAACATGTACACGTAGTATGTGTAAAATTTCTGTTTTAAATTTTTGTTTAGCAAATTGTTGAATGCTTTTTTATTTTCAATGAATATTGAAGATTTGCTTTAAACATTTATTTAAGTGTAGAAATGTCTCGTCGTTGTTCCGTATTCGAATTCGATGTTTTTTTGTTTTTTTTTCTTATGCGGCATGAGCGTCAATTAGTATTTTGTGTGTTTCTTTAACAATTTCTTTCGCATGGTTTTAGTTAACTATTTTGTTTTTGTCGTAGGTCGTTTCTAAAAAGTAGAAGAGTTTTTTGACGTACAGTAGTGGTTTGTAATCTCAACCTTGTAAATTGTTACGATCATCCGTCAGAACTATTTAAATAAAGATGAGCATGGTTGGATTAGGAAAACGAAGTCGAAATACGCTATACTAATTGTACTACAAAATATTATTATGAAAACTATTACTGTATTGTCGATCGTATTATTAAAAACAGTTTGTTCATCAAAGTTAACCGACTAATTGGTAACATTTCAGGCGGAAGAAGAAGTGCGTGCGGTACATGGAAGCCCTCGCAGCGGCCGGAGGGACCGTCCCGCTGCCCATGCAGACGCCCCAGTCCCCCTGTTCTGAGGAGGATGTCAAACTGGAGGAGATGTCCGACGCCTCCAGTGACGAGGCAGACACTCCTCTCAACTCAGCGTCGAGCCCCGGCGGGCTGAGCGCTCTTTCTTCTCTTGCTTCACCGGCCTCGGATCCGCCCCCTCCACCCCGCAATCCCGTCGGGACGAATCCCCGGGATGCGAATAACCCCCTTTCCGTGAATCAATTAACTTCCCAAACGTGGCCGCGTGCTGCGCAAGCTAGGCCGGGACATGAAGTGATATCTGTGTCATAGTGGTGGACGTCCGGTGCCAGCCGACGCACGAATGCGACTGAACGTGGACCGGCGTAAATTGTGAATTGACTGTTTTAACGTATACCCTCGGATGACTTTGATTCGTATGCAACTATTGTCCACATATCTTGACATGATTGCAAATGATGTTTTACAATTGTCAAATTATCTCCATCGACATAAGTCACCAAGTATCAAATTTGTAGTCTTATATCGATTGTTAAAGTTTGTCAATTGCGTTAATATAAAGATTTTCGAAAGATATGTGGATAGTAATGAGACGTTTATTCGCACTTGTTTCCATCATATCAAAGTCATTATTGAGTATATGTTGCGTTCTCTGGACCTTTGCTGTGATCAGTCGTAAAGTGTTGTGTTCAATGCCATCTGTTTGTTTGGTCCGGAACTTGGTTGTGATAAAAGGTACCAAGAAACAAACTCTGGTTACAGCGTTATTCAAAGGTTATAATCGGGTGCTAATCCAAACGGGTCTTTTATGCTTTTTAGGAATACCCATATGTGTGAACATTTATTTTTAATTCAGCTTAGAAATCAAACATATTCTTTTTACGATATAAAGTAGATTTTTAAGCTTTCTGGCCTAACAGTAAACCCGACCCCATGTGAGGTATTTCTGAAAAACATGCCGTTCTGTAAGCAAATGTACATTAATATAATCTTGTATTCGAAAAATTATTGTAAAATATATCTTAACATTACCACATTAGTCCCGATAACAGTCATTTCAACTGATCTCAGATTTATAAGCACTTTGACATAATTTCCTTTTCTCTTTCCAAACTTGAGTCCAATGCAAAGTTGCCATTTTTACATTTCATTATTCGACCTTTACAAAATAGTACTTATTTCCTCTATTGTTATAATCCTTTGTCTAGAAAATTATGCATACATAAAATGATTAGCATATTAATATGTTATTATTAGTATTTCAAATGCATATTGAAAGCAAACCATAAGCGCTATTTTTTATTAGTTTTAGTTTTTGACAAATGGCAATCCTAGTCTAAGATGTCATCAGACTAGTCACGCCTTCTCGTGCCATTATAATTGACGTGGGCAAACGCCGCCATTATTAGTTTTGGACTCATAAGTTCGGATATTTTTACCGTTTGATGTCGTATCGCACAGTCGTTATTTCCTGTTCATAGAGAATGTGTTAACGTTTATTGTTTTTGTTACTGATATTCATGTTTCTTACTATTACTTATACTAGTTTCTTAGATCTATGGACCAAGTTTATATTTGTAAGGCATCAGAACAGATACAGAATCTTTCGAATGTCGAAAAGTTGCAATTATGTATTTGTTACATTATAGTTAAAAGTGGTTATAGCCTTTACTTTATACTTACACATAAAATTCTAAATGTATTATTTTTTTATTATGGATTTGATGTCTTGACACATTATCTGTGGACAGATGGCGTTACTCGCCAATTTGCTCTCTCACAGATTAACAATCCTAACCTCAACGGCCTGCACTTGAAGGTTCCAGATAGTTTTAGAGTTTAGTTTATAGTCCTTCGTGTATGTATGATAATATTTTAAGGTAACGCGAAGGGCACCTGTTTTTCCGTTGTGCGGAATCGTTAGACTGTCTTAGGTTAGAATAGGCACATTGTATGAGTGGTTTATGATATTTCATAGAAAATGCTCTTTTATCGACATCGGCATGTTATTATAAAAGGATGAATTTTATGTTTTCACTTTGAGAATTTTTTTTTATTTTAAATAAATTTTACAGTTTATATTAAGAGCATTAGTTACGAAATATTAGTGTATATTATGTGTAAGTACATGCGGTAATTGTATAAAGTAGGTTTACTAACTGTGTCATATTAGAGATAAGTGTACTATTCTACTTACATATTCATATTACTGCTATATAAACAAAGGAAATTTTAAAATATTAGTTGAACTACCGACTCTTTCCTTACATATCCTGTGTATAACTTATTTCAAGAGTTAAATGTACATAACTTTGTAATTGAATTTAGACATTCTCTGGTGAAATTGCATTTACTATTGTATTTAAATGTGCCCACGTTTGTTCGTTATCCACAACTTTTTTGTTAATTAATTTTTTTATTGTTATTATTAAGAAGTTTAACGTTGTTGATGACAATATCGAACAGAATAACAAAATTATGAATGAAATAAAAAATTTAGCATTGACTTATTGGGAAATCGTTGACAAATAAACTACAGGATATATACACTTCAAATCAGATTGACTTTGCATGAATATAATGTTGTGCAATACTGGAATTATTATGGGTACTGTATATTTTTATGTAATGTAGCTTTTTCCGTAAAAGTACGTTTAAGTTTTTCTAATTGAAATTTTATAATTTCGGATATTTTATGTTCAGAAAAAGAATTATTTTCGTTTTTTTTTATATAAACGTGGTGCGGCATGTGCCAAAACAGTTCGCAATGTAATGGACAGTAAATTTATAATCTGTGCCAAATTGAACATTGGGCTTATGTCCTATACCTCTTAAAGCTCTTAAACCTTTATGTTGATAGATTTTATAGGTTGTTTTTATTGTTAAGATGGTAAAGACAGACGGCATTAAGCAAACTATTATTATTTTTTTGTAGGGAAAATTTGTCAAATTAGAAAACTCAATTATTAGGTCTGGACCCATGTCTTGTGTTCAGTTGAACGAATATTATTTTAATAAACAATATTAAATTGTATCTATGGGTTTTATTAATTCATATATGACTTTCAATTCTATTCCTTGTTTGCTTGAACTGTATTAAAAGTTGTAGAGTTACGCCATCTATTGAACAAAGTAAAATAACGCTTGATATCAAGATGTTAAATGAAGAATGCCCAAAAAATGCTAACGTTTCTCGCTGCTTAAAACAGATGGCAGGATAAACACCTACAGCTTATTATTATTTTAAATAGTTAAATGTGTATTGTGCCGCCTTCAATATTTTGTAAACGTTTTTGACATTCATAAGCATGCCCTAAGACGCATCTAAAGTGAATAAACGTATTTTGATTGATTGAACTTTTGCTCCAAGACGAATAATCCACTTTGTAATAATGATAGTTGAAAAAGTTGTTCGACGAATATGATATAATAAAAAAAATTCAAACTTACTAGTTGGCGGTGTATTTAATTATCAGAATTAGTTAGTACCATTATCAACTTTTATTATAATTATATTTTCTTGTAGCGTGGACAGACTATCTTCGCCGAGCGTCGTCGAAACCTCTTAGTAGCTATACAATGAATTAATCAACACAATATCACAGACAACCTTATTATTGCTTACATTAAATTTGTAGTAAGTTTTAAGTATACCTATCAATATAAGGTTACAGTATATATAAATAAAACAATTTATTTATATTTTCTAAATGGTGATATATTTGCAGTTTGAACACAACTATTAATTAAATATTAAGATCTAACATTAATTTATACATCATATTTCAATTTAATTATCATAAAAATATCACACGTATGTCTGCGGAGTCTATAACTACAGAGTAAAGTAAGTAATAAATTTTAAATATTAGGTCAAGAATTATCAGGATTAATACAAAGTTTAACTTGGTCTTTGATTAAATATTTTGAATGTTTGACTAGAAAACACACAAGCTAAATATAGGAAGCAATTACTTTAGTTTTCAGCAACAAAGAGTTTCGGCAATTCAGTTTCAAGTTGGATAACTCTCACAGTTGATGTCAAATGCCAACTATTATAGGCCCTTTCATTTTTTGTATCATAGGCTTCAGGAGCCACAAAGGTACTATAGTATGAGATCAACTCATGAGATTGGTCACCATCTAGATCTGCTATGGTTAGGGATCGTTCTTGATATTCTAAATCAGGTTGGCAAGTAGGTAAAGGTACATTGGAATTCATTTGGCCTCTTACACATATTTGTAGAATATCTGTTTGGCTGACGTTAACATGTATATAAGTTTGCAGTTTATCAAATGCAACCAATACTATTCGTTCTGATATGTCATGGGCCACAAAGTTGTCATATTTTATGAATGATGATATAGATTCAATGTTAACAGTTGGCCGGTGATAAAATATGTCATAAGGATTTTTGGGGCTTGAATTCAGCACATTATACCTTATCTCATCGAATTTGAGTGCACCCTTAGCAAGGTGTGCACTATTCCACTGTCATAATTTTAAAACAAATCCCCGTATAGAGTTTGGGAAAGCAAAATAACTGGGCTTCATTGCAAACACGTGATTGGCAGTGTATTCCCAAGTAACATTTGTTGTTCCATTTCTTTCTAATAATAATTTCAAATTTACTTTACATGTTGTTGGACAGTCACCATAATTTTCCACTTTTAGTTTACCAGGTCCATTTGTGAATATTTGTTTTGTGTTGCCAATACTTTTCTTCAAACTTAAATTTATCTTTTTTGATGAAAATGATCCCGATGATGTATCATTGGTAAAGTGGTCTAGTTTTAAGAGTTTTTTATATAATTCTGGGTAGATGATTTGACGTACTGCCTCAGAAGATCCATTTTTACAAATGTAAGTGATATTTCCAGTTTCAGAGAGTAGTTTTACTGATAAGCAATTATCAATAGTCATTGGATCACCAATGATATTACCTGTTGCACCAGATATGATGAGAAGGGAATTGTGGTTTAAACTTGGGTAAACAGTTGCTACTGTTGCCAAATCAGTTACTTTATCCTCATCCATATCCTTTATAATAATAGGGAAGTCAATGGACACAATTTTGCTAAATACTTTTCCTTGTTTATGAATGTACCAGTAATAAGTACCAGATAAAGGATTTAACGCAGCAAGTAATCCTTCTGTTCCTGATACTATACAGTCTTTCTGCTTATCCTTATTAACATCTAAAAGGTTACAATTTATTTCCATTGGTATTCTAGTTTCACGAGTGTACCATCCAACTTTACCAGTATTGCCAACAATGAGTAACACACCATTAACATTATCATTATTGTTTTTGTTATCTTTCATATGATTTCCACGGTATATGAAAATAAGATTCTTAGTTTTAGGAATAGCTCCATCAACAACTTGCACAGCACCAGAGAGCTCTATTTCATCATATGGTAACTCCCAGTTAGTACTTTTGTCATGCCATTCATTATTTGTACAACTACCAACATCTGAACATGGTATGCCCCATAAGAAAATAATAACAGTGAAGAGGCAAAGTAGTATTGAGGCTATAAACGCGCATCTACGAGGGAAAGACATTTTATTAGCGACATCAGATTGTAAAAAGCTTACATTATCCATTGTACTCTCCATCGTATTGAGATTCGTATTATAGTCGTCTAGCTCACTCATACTGTAGTTTTTAGAAGATTGTAAACCGCTGTTGTAATCCAAATTGCTACTCTCTGAGGCCTTAATTTTAAGAGCATTTTGAAATTTCTGATCATCTTCGGATTCAGAATCCGATACTAGTTGTTTCAGTGGCGCATAAGTACCGCCGTTTCCATTTGTTGACATTGCTATAAAAATGGGATATTGATGTCTATTACATGGCTAAACAATGCAATATTATTGGAACATTATCACACCTCAAACTTTAATACTTATATAGCACTGTTATATTCTTATTTTCTATTTTGATTCTCGAAAGTAAAACATCCAAAACTTAAAATCAATACGGCGCGAGCCGCGACCTACAAATTTGACAGACATTAACTTGTCAATAATTGTTTTATTTTGTCAGCTATCGGCACTTGGCAGTTGGAAAACCTTTAACTTTTAGGAGTGTTACATATTTTTTTGTAAATAAATCCCTCTTATATAAAATACTAGCCTGTACCTACCCTGACACGCTTCGCTGTGGCACATTGCGATTGAATGGTTGTTGATGATGATGATGATATTAATTTATCCCTAATGGGAAAGGCAATTGAATGGTTGAGAAATGAGAAACAAAAAATACATTTCATATAAGTTTAATTTTGCAATACCTGTGGACAAAAAAATGAAAAAATAAAAAAACAATAAAAAAACACAGATAAAAACAATCCTTGATGCGGATTATATATCATGTTAAAATTTCAGCTCGATCGGTGTAGATCTTTTCTTCAAATTTTGGCTAAAGTAATAACGGCTGGACATATTGTGAAACAGTGTCGGTGTACCTACATAATTTGATAACGAAAACATTAAATCATTATTAGTCCAAGCTGTTGAGATGTTTTTCATCAAATTAAAAATTCCATAGAAGATAACCCATAATGATCATGAATGTGAAGAATTGATTGAATCTGGGGAAATTGGTGTTGTTGGCGAAGAAGTAAACACTGAAAGTTGCGCAAATGATAGAGTTTTGTAAGATCGATCATTAATTAGACACCCTAGTAAATTCAACGATTTTGTTATTAATAGAACCGACCTCATGCAGGGAAGCAATAACTAGTTCCGAGAAAGTTTCAAGGATTAAGGCTATGGATAGCGAGATTAAACATCTAAAGATATACGTGGATCTTAGAATTGTTACCAAAAAACCGAATGTCTATACTATGTAGGTATTTCGCATTAAGTTAAAACCTAAGGTTCTGTAAGTTATATAAGGATGAATTGTTGAAAAAGGTTTTCAACAAAAGAAAGAAGATTACGAGCAAACCTTCTATTACCAAAAAAAATTAGTTTCCTATATCTATAACAGTTTATTTCATTATGGACTTATAGAAGCAAGTTTAAGGGTGAGATTCAGAAACGAGACAGTATGAACTCTAAATGGCATTCAGACTTAGCGGTATATAAGTCTCGTTTCTGAATCTATTAAGTACCTATTTGCGATATTTGTAAAAATAAGTGTTGTTTGATGATTTGCTATTTTAAAAGAGTACCTACCGAGAGTTTTTTACGCCGGCTTTTTCTCTCTGCCTACACCCTCTGTCTTTTTTGCCGATGAGTAGGGATGCCTACAAATTCAAATTTAATGACGTGGAATAAGTGATACATGTATCTTATGTTCCATAATAAACATATTTTATTTTTAAAATTCCCAGTCTTAACTAGTGCTGGTACTGTTTTATATTTTATCCGTTCCTACGAAAGTAATTCATTTAATATCGCCCAAGGACGTGCCGTACTTAAAAAAATCAATTCGCGTACCTACAAAATAAAATTCGTGGAAAATTATATTCTTTCAGTCATTTTTTTTTATCAAAACAGGTGCCAAACCGCCAGGAGGCTCACCTGATGTTAAGTGCCCATGGACACTCAATGCCAGAGGGCTCGCAAATGTGTTGCTGACTTTTTAAGAATTGGTACGCTATTTTCTTGAAGAACCTTAATCGAAAGGTCGAATTGGTTTGGAAATACTTGTGTAAATAATGGGCAGCTGGTTCTCAATGGTGCTTTTATCCGTTCCTGCCAAAACTGCCTTAAAAAACTGTCAGTTGTGGAACGACAGACGAGGTCATACGGGTGGAACTTCGTATTTCGCCTCGAATCTCGACACCCGATGATGAAACTCAGCTGCAGGTATTATTCCGAACTCCTCTGAACATTGTCCGTGGTAAATGCGGTAGAAGATGTACAAATACCCACATCTCTACGCAACGCCAAGAGATTGGTCGTCGACGATTCGAAGCGCTCTTCGTTGAATCGGTCAAGTGGAAGGAGCTGGAACTGGGGAGCTCCCGCCCAGAGGGGAGAACAGTACTCCATGTGGGGCCGAATTTAAGCTACAGTTGCAAGCGTTGGCCCGGAGTGAAGTACCGTGTTGCCTTGCTGAGCACACCAAGCTTCTTGACTGTGCACCAATGATTGGACTTTCCGTTTGTGCTCATTTAATACTCGCTCGTGCGGTAAAAGAAAACATCGTCAGTAAAACCGGAATGCCTTTTATCAAAAAAGCCGACGGCACAGAAGGCTGATCACCTGCTTGCCTCGTAGAAAAAACAAATGATCACGAAACAAATACAGAAATTTGCGGCCCAGATCTATGAGGTTGTAGCGGCACTGTTTTTTTTAAATAAATATTAGGGTAAGATGGCACAAAATAAAACCACATCATAAAGGCAGATATTTTTATATAAATTATTTGCAGTTCTTTTCATACATTAGTCTACAAACATTTACTATTATGTCACACTTATTGTAATTGGTGCTTTTAATCTTAAAATAAAAATACATGAGATTTGAGGCTGAATCACTGATTTGACTAATAAATAATATATCAGTGATTTGTCTGCAAATTTCCACATTTTTCCCAATATCATTTTTAACATAAGGTTATTTTTATAAATATTTTAAAATTATTGTAAAAATGGTTGATAATAAATATAAGTATATAAGTTGCCAATCTTGAAAAATGATGCGCTAAATCTTATACATATTGAGACTATTATTGTAGGTACAATTTATATAGTGAATGTCACTAGCCATACTTATTAAACCATTAAATGGTTGGTATACATTTCGACATACTAATTAAAATTAAGAAATAAATAGGAATATGAATAAGAACTATTTACAAAGTCAGCCTCAAAAACAATTTTTACACAAATGGCACATTTTGTACAGAAAATTGTGATATGGATGCATAAAATAAAATATTGGCTGTTACTACATTATATGACCCTCTGTACCAAAATGAGTAAATTTGAATCATAACTAAGTTTTTATATAAATAAATTTACCAGAACATGTTCTTGCATAGGAACAAAATATTAGCATATAATCTAGGTTAGTAAAGAAATAAATAATACAGCTCTAAATAGTGTGATGTTACTTAATATAATGGACAAGATCGGGCATTCAGATTGAATATCAGACGAAAAACATGCGTTCAAATCAGTCTTGCATTACATTATATACAGAGAAAACAACTTTTACCATCAATACTATCAAATAATACGTTATAATTGTTAGTTAAGGAGCCTGCCTTATTTCTAGCATCCCGTACTAGTGTAATTTGCTAATACCCTAATATTTAGCTATTTGACAGATCTATGTTAGATTGAGTAGGCGTATTCGCCGAGGTATTCGATGAGTGTGGAGGGAAGGGGCAATAGTCTATGTTTTGGAGCGGTCCAAAGTTTGGGAGTTAAGGGGTTGGAGTCCAGCGCTTTATGGATAGCGATCCGAGCGGAGTGTAGGAGAGATGGTGGTGATTTTCTTAGAGGATTTTTAAGGAGAACAGGGGAATGCGCGCATCCCTCTCGGTCAACCCACACGGTGCCCGCTGCCCCTCGTTCCCCGAGACGCGTGTAGTGTTGAATTAATTCGATCACACATCGGAATCTTGGCATAAACCTGGCGAGCGGCCTGTCGCAATCAAATCTGAAAGAAAACATTATTCATAAGTACATACACAACTAGAAACATATCTTAAATATTTTAAAGTACACTAGGTACTTCTAAAACGTTATTTTAAATTTGCAGTAAAACATTGTTGTCATGACGTCAAGGTAAACAGCAATTAGGTGTAAGCAGCTATTTAACCCAGAAACAACGCGATACTATGAAGTATTACCCACCTAATAGGGTTACCACTTGCCATACTTATATGTAACTACCAATAGGTAAACAATTTTGGAATTTGTTTCATTAACAGATTTGATAACAAGTAGGAACAGTAATGTAAAACAGTAGTTATGTGTTTATTAAATTAAAATATTTCTTTACATGTTAACCCAGCCATAATTCACACGAATTCCAAAAATAACTTATTAGACATTGTATGGACTTTATTATTATCTATATAATATTACGTAAATATATTGTTGAATGGATTTTGTATCTATGTAGTTCAGTTTTATTACAGCGCTCGCGCTGACTCAGTTCTTACTAATAGTTTTTATTATTAAACCCTTATTATTTTTGTCTAATTTACTTAATAGCATTCGTAGAATACTTATCTTTGTTTATTCAACTTAACTATTATTGATTCATCGAGAATCGACTCAAGAACCTCGTGGTCATACTTCAAGAGCATTGAGCACCGAAGGTTGTCAATTCTCAGTTATCTTATTTTATAATTTGCTAGACGCAATCTCTAGATGTTTATCCCCCAAGCAACAAGGCAATTGCATAACTTTTAATTGTGGTTTGTAGTCAACTGAGAGATAAACTCTATTCATAAAACTTAATAAGTCTTTAATTTATTTTTCTCATATTACATGGAACTGCTTTATTAAAAAGTGTTATTTTGAAATATTACGAATACACACTATTGTTCCGTAAATAAAATTTAACTGCGTAAATAACCTTAAAATACATATGTTATTGTCATGTTTACTCGAACCAAATGTTTAATAGAATAAGTACGCCGATAACAGCTTGTTACTTATCTTTCTAAGAACACTCTTGTTAATACGGATAGCAGAGGCCCAATCTTTTACATAAATATATCTTAATTTATATTATCTAAATATAAATATGATAATATTTTATAATAAAAAATTGTTTTGATGCTTCCGTTTAGACATGATAAAACAACACTTTTAACGGCTTTTTCAGGCTAATAAAGTCGTTCTGTACATAAGCTACCAAGGTATAAAAGTAAAAGAATTTTATGATATTAGTCCTTACCTAAAATAGCCCTGCTCATAGTGCATGCGTACTGAGGTTGGACCTCGTTCAGTTTGTACTGACAGTGAGAAAATGAAATTTCTATCCCTAGAATCCCTTATCACAAATGCTCCAACACTGGCATCCTTCAAGAGGTTCCTTGCTCCCTGAAAGTAGGGAAATCAGTTATATTAACGAAAGTATTAAATTTTGTATGCCTCTGTAATTTGTGGTGTAATAATGTAAAAATTGGGAAGTAATAGATACAGTGTAAAATCTTTATAACGTTATTCGTTATAATAACGGAAAACTCTCTGTAACGTAAAAATGAATTAAACTTATTTGGTTTAACCCAATACCCATACATTATTTTTTCCGTCCCTATAACGAAAGCTATCTCTGTAACAAATAAAAATGGTTGGTCTCTTGAAATTCGTTATAAAGAGTTTACACTGTATATATTTGTGTCTCTATAAAGGATTTTGTAAACTATTGGGTACTGTGCCTCTTATAATGTTATAGAGAATTGCAGTCAAATGAGTAAAATCATTGTCTTACTATTGTAGTAAAAAGCCAAACAAAATCCAGTATTTTGCTATCTTTAAAAGAATTTGATATTGAATCAACTGACTTTATATGAAATTAAAACTTGGATCAAACTGCGTATGTCACACACTTTTCACATGATGAAATGTTATAGAATATGTATTTTTATCACATTCAATGACAAATCAAATAAGCCCAAAATATTATACTATAAACTTGTTAAGTATGGTTATGAATTAAATCTTATCATAAAAATCTTTCTATTCCTATTTTGAAATTGAAACTTATATTGTGCCTACTGATCTATTGATAATTATTTCCAGTAGTATTTTACTGTTAACTGATATTAATTAGAATAGCTGATAACACCTTATCAGTAGGTTATATTGTTTTTTTACTTTTGCTAGGAAATCAAAATTATTTTTAAACATTATCTAGTCCTCTATAGATATAACATTATCAAACAATAATATCTTGATATTAGTAATTTCAGTTCTCAGAATTTATATGACAAAGTAATATTTAAATTAATATATTAAGACGTAACAAAGGGTAAGATTTATGTCAACATATTAATTTGCTCAGAAACCCTTTTATTATTATTATAACTAAGTCTAGTTGAGACCTAGACCTGTTGGCATTATAAAGGCTAGGCATAGAAAACGTTTTTATAAATTTTTGTGCCCATAAATATATTCTTATTATTAATATTCTAATTATAAATAAAATACTTGAAGTTATACAATAAATAATGTTCAAAAAAATATATTAAAGTTACCTGCCAATCTAAATTGCCATAATACCAGCCAGAGAGCCGGAGTGCTTTAAGCGTATCTTCCAGGCGTTTTAATTCTTCATTATAAGGAGATGGAAGTGGTGCTGGTACCGTGTAGAGTGAGTGAGGCAAGTAGGGCTGTATTGTGAAGGGCGGAGTCAGTGGTGTATGTGCCTTAGAGCAGGACAGCGAGAGGTGTAGTTCGTGTTTACAGTTGGGACAGCAGGCTACACCATTACACCAGCTGTTTAGTGGCACCCCAACCTCAACACAAGCATCTGTAAATAAAATTTTAAAAATTTATTGTTGTAATGTCTTTGTGAATGATTACACAAATAGCTTGTGACCTATAAACTCATACGTATTTGTCTTTAATAGAAAATAGGACCTTTTATGCCTTCCCATTCAAAACAGAGACCTTTTATAAACATTAAGGAAAACACAGTTTCCTTGAATAGAACAATTGGATTAATCCATTGACAATTATTGCTATCAAGCGGTACTCTATATATAGTGTAAAGCTTTTCCTTATAACAATATAAATATTTTTCAAGCTTTAATTGTAACAATAGTAACAAAGCGTGGGATTTCTTTAAGATAAGTATTATATAATTGATATTTCAAAACACTTGAACCACATTAAGTTATCCAGAGCAACAACTTTGTTGATGAAGTTTTTTGATATAATTTTGTGTGTGCAATATAAATTTAGAGATTTTTGTATATTTTTACCTTTAAAAAGTTACTACAGACATTTCCATGGTTATCTAGCCAAAAAGTTCTTTAAAAATAATTTGTTAAGGAGACCAGTTGACAAAATGGATATCAAACATAAGATTAATTAGTTTTAGTATGCATATAGAATATAATAGAGGCTCCAGAAAAGAAAAAAAACAATAATAAATAAAGTTAACCTCAACTTGTACTAGCCATGTTTACATAGTAAAAGTATATCTAAATATATGTTTTTATATAAAGAACTCACTTTGCGATGGTATTGTCGCTATCGTCATGCTTAAAGGACGTATTTTTGCTTCTCGTCTTTCAATCAAACACATTTGCTGTTTCGGTGGACAATTATTTGTTCCACCTAAATCCTCTTCAGAGGCCACGATTTAAAAAAATATCAAACACAAAACTAAAAGTTTATATAATATTGTAAAAATATTTCATGTTGCAATAACACAAGAATTCTGAAAAACAAATTCTATCCACAAAACAACTTTCACTAATATAATTATAATTCCACTCTCGCCTACAGGGCGCCAGCCGCCAACGCCAAGAATCCAAAAATGTAAATTGTAAAATGTCAAACACCTTCTAAACGTCACTAGTGCCGTACGCTAACCAAAGACAAAATTTCTTAAGATTGAAAATAATTATTAATTCAGCTAGAATTGTTCAATTATCGTGTATAGTAAAGACACACATGAACACTACTCGACGGTTAATTGAACACTGAGGATTGTAAGCCGTGAGGGCCGATGAGTAAAAAAGTATGACTGGCAATTACTGTAGTAAATACACAAAAGTAACTATAGATACAGTTGTTAAAAGAGGGGATCGCGCGGGAGGACAAACACCTCCTCTCAGTAACGCTGCGCACACTAAACGAGCGACAAGACAGCTGTCTTTGGCACGATTGCGAATACGAATGCGGAATGACGAAACACGGGCGTTGAGTAGTTCTGAGAACTCATTCACAAACTAACAACATTTATCTAATCATTTGTTAGCTATCATTATTATAATATTGTTTATTACATTTCTACGTAAATTTAGATAAATAATATAATTTAATCTTCTTAATTATAAGGAAGGATATCACTGCGTATGAAAGGTACACTCGTATAATTGAAAAATAAACTTGTTAATAAATTGAATATTGGGTAGCTGAGAGATATAGAATAGAAATAGTTAATATTACTTATTATAACGAGATATAAACGCAGGTGTTCGGTTCGCATACGAAATTCGGACGTGCCTTAGAGAGCGAGTTCGCCGTAGTGCGATTATATTTGGCGTTCTCAGAATCCCCTACCTGCATTCAAAGCTTTCACATCCACGAACCATCTGCTATTTGTGTGCTCACACGTCGGCAGCTGCGCATAATTTAATGTTATAATTATGTCCTACAATCTGTATTTACAAGTTATTGAAGAACAATACTAAAAAAACTGCTTGAATTGTTCTTCTGCGTAAGAAGTTCGAATTTGAAAATAATACAATTTATAAGTTATGTTTTAGTGCGAGGCTAATATATACCCGGCCATAAAATCTACATAGAAGGATAATATGTAAATAACAATAGACAATAACCGTTTATTGTTTCTCTTGATAACAACACTACTATACTTTAAATAAGCGTTGGTTCACAAAATATTAGGCCCACCAATGAATTTAAAAGCTGAAGCCGTTTAAAAAATGATATCGAAACTTTAGTTTCTGTATAGTTTAAAACCACGTGTATTTCTTGTGTACACTGTAATCTCTATTGTGCTCACCGTAATTGATGGGTATTGTTGGACATTTTTTGTTATTTAATTTGTATATATATATATATCTGATTATGCTTAAGGCACTGTAACTGTTTAAATAAATACATAGTTTATCAATACGAAATGTAAACAAGTATGCAAATTAATCGTACCAACCCTTGTAATTTTTTCAAAAATGTAATTCCAGAACTTTTATTTTGTCGTATTTCAATTATGAAATTTTAAATGTTATACCAAATCGCATGCCCGCTATCTATCGTCATCTCTAAACTTTATGCTACTTCTACTACTTATCCTAATATATATATATTACTATGTACATCACAGTCAGTAAGACAGTAAGTTTTCTTAAAAAAATGATAATGTTTAATAGATAGTTGATTGATTGACTTGATTGTTGGTTTTCGGGATTGTGACATGCCAAAGGACTGACGTTTTAAGCATTAATTGTGTGTTTTTATTAACTTGTGTATTTAAAATAAAGAGCTGAAATTGGGTGACCAAATGAAGGACATTTCATTGTTTTAAAATAAATTGTAATCTCATTAAAATATAATAAGACTTTGTAGATATTGGCTGATGACATTGAGTTACCCTACTTTTGTATAATCACCCATATATATTTACTAAATTATATAATATGATAGAAAAAACAAATCAATTGTAAATATAGGTGAAAATGTTATATTGCTTTAAAAATCTTTGTGTTCATTGTATAAAAATCAATATGAGCAAAGGTTTTATCTCAAAGGCTGTATAGCTTCCATTAAAATGACTATGGCTTACAAACTCAAACAGATTTAAAATGGCATTTTCCTGAGAATTGTAATTTCCATGTTTAGCAATAGGTATGCATTATACCGTATATGAAAAGTTACAATTTATTGTTGATATATTGTGATCCAGTCAATATTAAAAACTTCTGCCTTATCTCTAAAAAGGGGGTTTTTATTCTGAAAATAATGCAATTTTTTTTTTGCGTTTATTTGGTGCGTTTGTCGCCGGTGTACTACCGTTGTTGTACAGTTTCTATACTATAATAAACTCGTTTGTATACAATATCTATAAAAACGTTAATAATTCAACTAGACGAAGGCAAAATAAATACCACAAGTCTACTTAGAACTAAGTAGATAATTAAAATTGAACTCAACAAACTAAGAGAATTGTTTCAAGTAAAAATTTAGATACAACGCATTTGCAGCCTCTATCCCTGAAGTATTTATACAACCTAGAATAGGAATAAATAAGTATTCAATTATGATAATAATACAAAAATCTTTATCTCTACCCAGACGTAGTCGCAGGAGATTCGTAGTAAAATAAAACAATATAGAAAGTCGCACCCACATTCTGCCTTCGGATTGTATTGTTTGTGCGAGGATTTCTTGAAATTGTATGTTGTATGACAGTATCTTTCTTAGAATCGCCTTTGTCGCTATTTACGAAGTTATATTTCAAGTTACACCTTCGAGTTCTTTGGACTCGGCTTTGTTAATAAATTAACCAGAAAAATATAACAATAACAATTTCAAATATCGGAAAATATGTTCAATAAATTTTACCTACTGAAACATATATATGACCTTGCATAATCTGTATTTTTAATATTATTCTATTACCGATTCATAACAAGTTGTAGCGGGTTAGCAACGAGCATTTTACTTTTACCTACGTTACACAACATACGATAAATTCATTCTTGGAAATCACTTCAATATAACATTTAAATTGACTTTCGTAAAGGTTTTTAAATATTTATAAGGAATACAAGAAATTTGAAATACTATTCGCAGGATAGGTATACCTCAACTTTCCACCAGCGATAGAATAGAATAGAAAAACCCAAATGAGACGCATTAACAGTTCATATTTGAACTAACATTTGTATACTCTGTATCTAAAATATCATGAACCAATATTCTCAGAATCAAATATATCGACTTAAAGCGAAGGTGCTTTGTACTACATCGCCATGACAACGGCTATAGATCATAATAACGAGAATCGTCAATGATTTCATCGTTTATCTTTATTTCTGGGACGTCTGCGCCTTCTACGTATTTTATCTCTCATATTTCATCGGCACTAGTATAAGTCTTAATTATTGGATAACTTAATATTGTAATAAAAATATTACGCACATAGTGACATCATTCTTCTTTATATGTAAAAGCTTGGATTATGTTTGGTGCTGTATACCATATAACGACATAGACTAAAGCAACATAAAATAGTGTATGGCCATTATTTTTGTTAATACAATTATAATTTTAACACGGATTTGAACTGTGTCGTGTATTGGACAAACGGAGGTCGTAACGGAACTCGCAGCAAGGCGCTATTTCGTTGAATTGGTACGAACACTTTTAGTGGAAGAAGACAATCGCTTATTTTGTGAGTGTTAAAAGCAGAATACTAGGAACCACTCGTCATGCGTACATTATTTATCATTCTGTAGAAATATACACTGACTCATATACCTTTGTTTTATTTTTAACCGGCCTTGTATTAACTTCTTAAATATTTCTCTTTGGCATCATAATGCAACTTACGCTTGTTTGTTTTATTTTTAATTATGGATGTGGTTCTATGTTTGTTTATTAATTTAATCAAAGTAAGGAATCAATATTGCACTGGCTTTATTAATGCAATTGAGTCATTGTATCGCATAAATATTGTATAAAAAACTATGTAACTTAAATTAAATTTGTAATTATGCTTTTGTTAATTCTAACCCATACTGAAAAACAGATTTAAATTAATTAAACAGATATTGTAGTCATCTCTTATTAACACGAACATGATATCAATACACGAAAATGTGAATAAACATCTGTATTTCGTTCGTGTTTTTCGAAACGAAATGGACACGTAAAAACGAAAAAAGAAATGCGATTCAATTACGAAACGAAATCGAAGTTTCTGAGAACAAATTTAATGTTCCGCGAATATCGAACGCCGATATTAAAACACTTTGTTTAGCAATATCTCGGATAAGAGTTGTGATTCTTGGAAGGACCTTTAATGAAGACTTCTAAGCGGTGTTGATATTGTTTTTTACAACTTCTGTTTAATGGTTTTCTTATTGGATTTGACAAGTGAGTCCGACCACAGAACATTAAATATAATTGAATTGTTTTGTTAACCAGACCCACAGAGAGAGAATTAGGAAATTTGTGATCTAACATTTAAAACGGAACGGAGATCAAACTACATCGGAATTGGGTTTCACCGTTAGAAGACATCATTAGAGTTGAGTGGCAATGCAATTGTGAATTTACTCTTTTGAAGATGCATAGCACACCATAACGTATCCGAATATATTAAACGTGTCCGAAACAAAAGCATTTTCCCGAGACGGGATTACTAGATACAGTTGCATGAAAATGAGTTTCTGTTATACGGTATAAAAATGTATGTTTTCTGACATAAATGCAAATAAGTACCAAATCTTTATATCAATACTAGTGGACCCCACAGACGTCCTGCATGATATTTAAAGCGATTAGGATATTAAGCAAAGTATGAAAGTACCGACTGCAGTGCCATCTGCCGGG